ATATATATATGCATCTATGCATTATGTATGTATTCCTATACATGCACATAAGTATATTTGTATATTAACAATTTCCAAAGCTCTTCTCTGCCTCTAAGTATGTTTCACTCTGTCTTCATAGAAGACTCCATGCACATGTCATTACCTCAGAGAGAATTCATTTCTCCATCCATTTGCCCTGCTTCATTTTTCTTCATAGTGCTTCCCATTATTATGTCTTCCTTTGTGTATTTTATGTCCCTGGGTTTTATCCCGGTAAAATGGGCTCTCCGTGAAAGAGAGTATTTTTCTCTGTCATTTTCGCCATTATATCCCCAGAACCTAGAATCATACCTGACACAGATTTGATATTCAATGAGCATTTATTATATAAAGTATAATTTGGGCAGCATGGCAGGATCTCTATTTTCTTGATAGTAAAGCAAATTCAAATTTTGACTTGCTTAAGGTACACAGCAAGGAAGTAATTTAATCTCTTTGTCTTGTTTCCTTCTCTCTTGGCACCTCCTAAGCTAGTGTTGTTGGAACTTTTTGGTTGCTTTTACTCTTGCAAACAGTGTTGGTAAGAAACCTCAACCAGAGAAAGTTCAATACAACTTAATAATAGAAATACCATTTAAAAAAACCACAGAAATGAAGAAGGGCCACCTGGGTGACTGAGCTCAGGTCATGATCTCATGGTTTGTGAGTTCGAGCCCCATGTTGGTCTCTATGCTGACAGCTCAGAGCCTGGAGCCTGCTTCAGATTCTGTGTCTGTCTCTCTCTGCCCCTCTCCTGCTCACTCTCCATCTCTTTCTGCCTCTTAAGAAAATGAATAAATGTTAAAAAAAATAAAAAATAAATATATACACAGAAATGGAAAAAAAATATTTCAATGGTGTTATGTTAAAAGGAGACTGACATTTTTATGATCACTCAAAACATGATAAACGATATAGATAAACTCCCTATGGTATGTCCCTGATTCATTTACCTTACAAGAAAGCTTATTAACTCAGGATTGTACTAAAGCAGAAATTTTGGAACCTTTGTTTTATGCTTCTCTGCTTAGCTATGCCATACATTACTTCCAAATCATTTGACTTTATGGTTTAATTGTGTAGCACCTGCTATCACTACAATCTGTTTAATTGCCACTGTAATTAATTTGCCTTTAATGAAGATAAGTAAAAAATAGATAGCTCTTCTAATATTCTACTACCTTCTAAGATTTTCATACTTTTTTTCTTCTTTATAATAACTACGGATCTCACTTAAAGGCAAGAGTTCAGATGTTAATATTAAGTTGGATTCCTTCTATGCAATCACAGATTGATAGAGGAATCTCAGGAGATATATTTAGGATTTATGTGGAATGACAAATCTCTCTTTTTATAATGAAGTAGCTATACTTCTTTCCAATTGATTAAAATGTATTTTAAATTATGTGGATAGTATATTTGGTCGAATTTTAAAGTTCTGGCACAATCCTAACTTTTCAAAGATTCAGTTAGGAGCAGGTATCTAATGAAAGTTTTCTTAGGTAATATTTCAAAACAATGAGCTTGAGACAAACTTAAGTAGCAAAGAGAAACAGTTCACACTCTTAGGTGGAGTAGATGTGGACTTAAGTTAGAAAAGGGCTAACAGTCGGGGCACCTGGGTGACTTAGTGGGTTAAGCGTCCGACTTTCGCTTAGGTCATGATATCGCGGTTCGTGGGTTCGAGCCCCGCGTCGGGCTCTGTGCTGGCTGCCAGCTCAGAGCCTGGAGCCTGTTTCAGTCTGTGACTCCCTCTCTCTCTGACCCTCCCCTGCTCACGCTCTCTCTCTCTCTCTCTCCTAGAAATAAATAAAACAAACAAACAAAAAAAAGGGCCAACAGTCAAGGAAAGCAGGCTTGGAGTCAAGTTACAGGACTGAATGTGGTATCTCTATAGGGCCCAAATAAATAAATAAATAAAGGCTGAGAGACTCTTAAAAAACAAGAACTGATAAAATTAAATGTTTTGGCTCTGATATATAACCTATCTCTTCTGTTGACTCAAAAACTTTTGATAGAAGCTTCTGCCTAGCTATGAACTTGGAACAAAAAAGAGACAGATGTTTAAAATTCCAAACTCAAAGCAAGGATCAAAACAACTCTATCAGAGGTTAAGAAATGGGAGGAAAATACACATCACTCCCACATTTCCAGACATATTGTGAGACCTAAATCTACCTGACTCCATTTTAGAAAAAGCCTCCATCTTGAGAGTGAACTAGGCCCGAACCCAGTCCCAGGAAAAACCGCAGGAAGTAAGTAGGCAGCCTGCCCTTAGTTACTTCCCTAGCAACAGCAACAGCCAATCAATTTAAAAGAGATGCCTATGTCCCAAGACGTTCCGGTTGGCAGTTTGTGTCAGGCCAGACGGGCCAAACCAATCGGGCACTGACAAGACAGCCTGTACCTATCAGGAGGCTGCCAAGCTGGAAGCCCCGAATTCCACTGTAACTGCAATAAAAAGCCCTGCGATCACGAGTTCCGGGGCTCCATACCATCACCACTAAGCCAGGGTGCGTTGGAGTCCCTAATGGAGCTTGAATAAAGACCCTCCTGTGCTTGCATTGGAATCGGCTCCTCGGTGGTCTTTGGGGTTCTCGCAATCTGGGCATAACAATATGAGAAACATTGTTCAGTTCCCCATTATGTAAGGAGGAAAGCCTTGAAGATAATTGTATTAAAAAAATTAAATGAGCCAAATCTTTGTGGTGGAGGAAATGGCTCTCAGGTATCTCCAGGAATTGATGATACCCAAGTAAATAACTCTAGGTGAACACTCAGGATAGAATCTCCTTAACTTAGTTTCTCTCTGTCTTGATCTTACTCATTCTGAATTATTGGAGTTCTAAATCTGTGAGTAGCTTTCTCATCTGGCCTCTTTCATGAGTGCTTTGCATTTAATCTAGCAGACATAGGGCACTAATAAAAACTTTTGAGATGTAGGAAGTCTCACATAAAATATTTGATCCTTACGTTGCTGAAGATTCCATGTTAAAACAGGGAAATGTCTTTCTGAATATTTGGATTATAGAAAACCATATGAGTTAATAAGTGAAACATTTGAGAGACTAATTCTGTTTTTTTCAGTTTCTAGTGGAAATAAAGGACACAGGCTTTTGTCCTTTTGACAGAGATAACAACATAGTTTTCTACTGAGTGCAATGGCATAATTACAAAGAGAGTCCGCCTTTACTTTAGCATGGAAAGTAGGTTTACCTGGACTGTTTTCTTCATGCCAAAGAATTTCTGGTGGAGTAAGGGCAGTGCTGAAGATAAATGGCCCTGTTTTCCCATCAGATGGTGGTAGAAAGGGCAGTTATTTTTCATCTTTTGGTGGTGATTTTTTTGTAAACAGAGACAGAGAGAGAAAGGGTAAGGGAGGGAGAAAAGAGAAAGAAATTTAGAAATGAATTCCTCCTTGGAAGGAATTAGTGTTTAAGGAAATCAGTGATATTTCAAATACATATATATATATGTGTGTGTATATATATATTTGTGTGTGTGTATATATATGTGTGTGTGTATATATATATAAATTGATTATGTTTATATATTTCATATATTTAAAGGTAACAAAACTTTTCACCTAGAAACACAATAATTGATTGAAACATGAGCCCACCATCTTTCTAGGTCGGAGTTTTAAATCAATGGGAAATTACCTACAGTAAACCTGATTATCTGATTTCTTACATTAACAGGGATTTAAATCGTATTCAAAACCATCGTTAGTTCTTGCATCTGACAAACTGCTACTGAGAAGTCACTTCCTATTATCAACCAGACATTACTCTTTCTGGACTGTGTTTCACCTGCTCAAGCTAGAAAACCCTTCAGTCCACTTTCCCTCGGTCACTTGTTTGGCCTCGGTTTTATGTCCTAAGGACAATAATAGTGTAAAAACTCCCTTGGGCCAAAAGATGAGGGGCTTGCAAATGAGGAAATACCAACCATTGTTTGATTTCAAACTCTATTCAGGTAAAAGGTCAGGGGTCTAGCAACCTAGCTCCTCCCGGCTGCAGCAAGCCCCTGAGATGTAAATCTTTAGTGAACACTGTGATTAGAATGGTCAAACACTTTCTTCAAGCAACTGTTAAGCAACCCCCACTTCTAACTGCAAAATTCTCGCTTCTGTACACCGGCTTCACCCCTCTCCCTATATAAACCCTGAGCTATGGCTCTGCGGAGCGCTCTTCTGAGGACTTTTCCCGGTGCTTGGGAGGGGCCAGCAGGCCCGGACTAAAATAAACCTGAATAATCAACTCCTTTTGTGTTTTGTGGGCTTTGTTCTTGGAATTCTCCTTTGGAAAGGGAGGTCTAACAACAGCCTCTCCCTCTAGGAAGCCAAAATTTATTCTACCTCTTTCTGTCCTTGACACTGCATTTTTCCACTCCAATTTCAGATTCTTTTCTGTAAGGACACAAGTCTAAACGTCTAAACCAAACTGACTCCATGACAGGCTTTAAGTTTCCCCTCTAAACTAGAAGGCCTGAGTTTCAGCTTCCCCGAAACTATCAGGCAGTTACACATTGCCCAAGGCAGGAGAAACCACCCTTGCAACACCCAATCAGGAAAGGCCAGCGACCACCCTCCACAGAACTAAGGGAGAGGCCTGGAGATAGAAACTATAGATAGGACCCTGTTACCTAATGTTAAAGTTAACCCGTCAGTCACTGAACAAGACCCTAGGCTCGCTCTGTGATTGGTTGAATTTAAAGGTACTTTAAACGTTGTAATTGGATCCCACCAAAAGTAACGAATACTCTAGACAATGTGTATGGTCAAACCCGCTGTCAATGATGTTGTATAATTATGACTGGATCACTGTTCCCATGTCACAACTTCTGTAACTCCCCCGTCACAAACCCCATAAAAACCCTACTCTGTCCTTGTTCGGGGCTCTCAGCACGGATCCATGGCCCTGGTGAAGTCTGTGAGCCCGAGCTTGAGCCCATAATAAAGCCCTTTGCCTTTACATGCGTGACTCGGTCTCCCCGGTGGTCTCTGGTAGGTGAGGATACTGTGATCTGGGTATAACATTTCAATGTATCTTCTTGAAAATATTTTTGCTGATAGGAATCTAAGAGTTGTTTGTGATGAAATTTTGTCAGATGTATACTCTTATTTACATCCACAGGGGAAAAAAGCAAGCAACTAGAAAATTAATAGTTACTTGTCATCCTTCTGTTGGCGGGGGGGGGGGGGAGTTGAGTGTCTCTTTCTCAATTCAACTCAGTCACCTTTTTAAAATGATGTGCACACTATTCTCTAAACACACACTCATACACACACATGCATACGTATCTTAAGGTACTTTATAGTAGCTTTTGTGCTCTACAAATAGTATATATCCACATAATATATTTTATGTCATACCATCTACCATCCCAAACTTATCTAATAATTTGTTTAGACATCCAGACAGCCATTTCTGAAGCAATGCATTAATACATAAACATGGAAATATAATTTTACTTAGACAAATTATATGAGTCTGGAGGTAATAAGCAGATAATAAAATATCTCCTACCATGTAGGAGTTTCTGTGATAGCCGTACGGTGACAGGTGATTTATATGTAATTGCACATTATAAACTTTTTGGAAAATGAACACTATCCCCAATATGGGGGTATTCTTTCTCAAAAAGACTCCAAGAAACTCATGTAAGAGGCAGAAGTGGTAGAAATTTTAAGAAGAAGAAGAGGAAAAGGTAAAAATTGTTCCACTGAAACATCTAAACCTATTTCTTGGGACTAACAGCTCTAAATCATGAGGTAGGAGAGCCTTTTAATAACAACAGTAGGAGTATGCACTGGGCAGTAATTTTAACTTAAAATGCCAGCACTATACAATGCTAATGCCAATTAGCACAGCAGTGGTCATGGAAACCTTTCACTTCAAATTACAGCCCCCTCCCTGCAGAATGTGGGAGCACCACTTCTTGGCTGCTCTCACTTGCTCACACACCTTCACTCCTTAACCCCTTCCTATCCGCTTCCACCCCTACCCCTCTTGACAAGTGGCAGTCTTTCATGTCACACAGTTATTAGAAATATGACTGATTTTACAAAAAGCTTCTGAAGCTTCAGAACTTGAGCTTGGTAATATCAACTAAACCTTCAGGAGCATTTTCAAATTTGGAAATCTTTCTCTCAAGCTTATTTCACATAGGAGCTATAAGATTTCCAGAAAGTAAGTTCTGGCTATCTGTGTTTCAAACCTCACCCTTGACATATTATTCCCTTATTTCCAGTGCTAAGCACCATGGAATATGTTCATGCTACAACACGACCTTGGGCCCCACACCCTCACATCAATTTGCCAGGTAAGTACCAGGCAAAGGGTGGGGAAAATCCCAGAAGCCATTTCTACACCAAAAGATGACTCATAAAACACATATATGAACCGATATGACTGCAGCCCCAGAATCCTATTTTACTAAATGGAAACCAAGTATCTTTCATGCAGTTGTTCCTCAGCTGTATTCTAAAATTTCCCATTGCTTTTCCAGGCCACTTGACAGGAAGGGCTTAAAAGAGAAGTTGGAGTGGTGAGAGGCAGTGATGTGAATGGATTTTGCATAGGTTTCTCCACAAATTTTCAAAAATATAATGCCAAGTGAACACCTGATACATAAGCTTCCCAGGACCAGTGCTTTTGAAGCGTATGCCTCATCTTTTTTAGTGTGAGCACTGTGCATTTTAGATTTTAACAGGCCTTTAAGATTTACACCATTATAGACTCTGATAGACATCCTCTAGACCTATTCTGGCAGCTCCTGGATTCTAAATCCAGGCTAGAGCTTCAGCATAAGCTCTATGAGGGTGGTCCTGATCTTGCCCAGAATTGTATGCCCAGCGCCTATAGCTATTTGATATTAGACTCAGTCCACCAGAGACCCATGAACACATGAATGAACTAACTTCAGCGATCCTAATTTTAATTCAAAAGTGCCTGGCTATCTATAATGCACTTATTTATGCCACTTCTAAAATCATGCCTATGCCTGAATGTTTCTTCACGCAGCAAATACTAGATTGCCTGCAGATATGTTCTTATGAAGTCTCTACATTCCTCCCCCACCCTCATAGAGCATATGCAAAGCAAATCTTAGCTTTAGGCAAGGACGGATGCTAACATTAGAAATATGTATCTAGAGTGGATCTACAAATTCTGTGAAGAAGAAGAGTACCAAAAACTGAGGGCTACCCAAAAAAGGGGGGAAAGTGACTAAAAGACAATCCTTTCTTGGTCAGTTTCAGGTTTTTGAAGATGGGAAATTATATTTCTTGATGTCTTTAAAATTCTGAGAGTTGGATTCTTATCTACTTTTAACACTGGAACAATAAAGCTGAAAAATATCAAATAATGTGTTCAAGTTATCATGAGTGAATAATGAAGCTGAGAATTTTATTGAGAACTCTGGTTTCTGAACCGATGATCATGCTTCCTCCAGAAATGAAATTTCGTGATATTAAATCAGGCAAATCCATTGTTTCTTCAAGTCTATGTTAAATATATTCTTTCTTAGGCTACTAACAAAATGGCTTATCACTAGATCCAATCCTTCTGACCATTTTTTTAAAGAGCATCTTCTTACTTGGGAAGACCCAAAATATTAATATTGGGGAAGATCATTTAATACAAAGATATGTCTATTTTACTTCAAAACTTAGGGATCTTTAAATAACAGGCTGAGATAAATAAAGTATTTCAGGTAATATGTGGAAAGTGAAAAAAAGACAGAATTTGTGGGGAAAGTTGTAAGAAGGGCTGAAGTTCACTAAGGAGGGAAGATACCAAACTGATGGGAAAGCATAGGGCACTAATGTAAAGAGCTCTAATGAGTGAAGGTAGTAGTCATAGATCATGGGAGGAGATTATCTTAAAAATAATAACAAATGTAATATATTGACATAAAATTACAGACAGTTATAATTTATTTTTTCTTTTAGGCTACTGTGACAGAAGAAAGCATACAGTTCCCAAGAGTAAGTGAATGACATGCAGAAAATAAAGATCACATGAGCATCTGGGATCAGAAACAGGTGAGGCGAAGGAGTTCCAAGGAGAGAGAAAAGCTGCCATTCATCTGGGATGTGTGATGTCTACTAAATATACACTCATGGCGGGTTCACTGCTGGAAGTAAAGAGCCAGGGTCATCATTCCCTGTAATATTATTGGAGAAGTTGAGGTCCAGGGTCTTCTATTTTAGTTGCATTGTATGGCTTTTTAATTGTATTCAAATTAAATTTTAAAAATTAGTGTTTATTTTATTTTTGAGAGTAATAAACAGAGCATGCGGAGAGGAGGGGCAGAGAGAGAGGGAGACACAGAATCTTAAGCAGGATCCAGGCTCTGAGCTGGAGGGCCCCACCGGGGTCAGGCTCCAACTCCCAAACTGTGAGATCATCATCAGAGCTGAAGTCAGAGGTCTTAACTGACAAAGACACCCAGGTGCCACTTAATTGTATTCAAATTTAGCTTGCTGTTGATTTAATTACAAATAAATTACTTATCATATGAATACACACACTTCAGTTTTAGGAGCTAAGAGAGGGAGCATTTCATTGATTGAAAATTGGCCTTACCAGCTATTTGCTTTCACTCTTCAGGCAAAACTCAGTGAGGGCAAGAGCAGGGTATATATCCTGCTCATTGAAGGATGAGTTCTGGAATTTTCATAAGCAGCCTGAAAGACCTCAAAGAAGAGCTTGTTAGGATAAACTAGGTCAACAAACAGTGGACAGGCAAAATCTTCTCCTACATCATGATATTTGTGTCATGTTGTTTAAGTGCATCTTATTGAAAGCTGCTATGAATCCTTTTAGGAAGTAGACAGGGCATAAATGATGGGTTAGTACGCATTTCTGCCTGGGAGTCAGAGGCCCCATATGACAGCTTCACTCTTACGGTGTGATATTTGGTGACTGCTCCATGTTTCTGAGCTCCTAAACTCAGGATTAGCAACAGAGCACAGAACACAGAACATCAAACACTAACAGACTGTAAATGATACAAAAAGATACGTGACAGCCATCTGTAAGTTTGTTGCTATTTAGAAGCTCTTCTCACTGTCCACTGTCCAGGCTAAGTCTCCCAACTTATATGACTTCGTAAATCTTCCACTCCTCATCCCTACCAAGAACAAATTTAACACCGATTCTCCTGCTATATAAACAGAGTTTATAGAGGGAAACTTGGGATATTTGTTTTCCTTTGCTCTTTTTTTAATAGTTGCTTTTGGATCAGTGAGTAGATGGATCACAACTGTCTACCTGGCCAAATAGTGCTCTATGTTTTCACGCCAGTCTTCAAGGCCTGTAGGGGGAATCTATTTCTGTTTGTTGTGAAGCTATTTAAATAAAGGCCCTTGTCATCACCCTTGACAAATTTGTCACTGCAGCAGTAGAATATATTGTATTTAATCACTAGGAAATAATAGATACAAACCCAGGGAACTATAAATGAAATTCATTGTTAGCAAATGTCTGTAACAAGTCATATCTTGGGCACTTTTCACCCACAAAATACCCAGTCCAGTTTTACATTCAGAAAAAATCTAAAGAGAGTTGTCTGGGTGGCTTAGTCAGTTAAGTGTCTGACTTCAGCTGGGGTCATGATCTTGTAGTTCATGAGTTTGAGCCTTATGTCAGGCTCTGTACTGACATCTCAGAGCCTGGAGCCCGCTTCGGACTCTGTCTCCCTCTCTTTCTGTCCCTCCACTGCTCACACTTTCTCTCTCTCTCTCAAAAATAAATAAATATTAAAAAATATCTTTAAAAAGAAAATATCTAAAGATAAGTCCTATTATTTTGGCTTTTTAAATTAAGGTCAGATTTACAGATCTTATTTTACTCTGTTTATAATTCAACACAAATTTACTAAAATCTAATATGTTCACATTATGCAAGCATTAAAATGGAGGGATGAATACGGCAGACTTTAATATACATGGATAGTTGGCAACTGATAGTTGAAGAGGCAGAAAGGAATGTAAATGGGACTTTGCCAGAAATAATTCAGGCCAAAATGCAATACAGGGTGAAACACAATCGGAAAAAAAAAAAGTGGTAAATTTATTCTGCTTGTGAGGGAGAGACAAGGAAGTGTGTTCAAATAGGAATTAGAATTCTTGTAGAATGAGGGAAAACCATGGAGTGCTCTAGGAGAGGAAGGTGAGGGGGCATTTCAGTTGGAGAATAACCATAGCAGAGATGTAGAGGTGGAAAGGTTGACAGAATATTTAGAAAATGATGGTAATTTGGTATCACTGAGTAACAAGTTGCCAACAGAGACATGGCAGGGAAAAGGATGATAAAGTAGACTGGGGCCATCTTGGACAAAAGCTTGTATACCAAGCCAAGGATCTGGGCAATGATGACTTGTACTAATTTTTAAGCAGATTTAGTAGACCTAGGTTGATTTTGTTTACCCAGCCTTTGCTCCCTCCCTCCCATTCTGCCTTTTTAGTTTTCTAATAATTGTACCACACTTACCTTTCAGAGATCCAACCCTTCTTCACTTATAGTCAACATGAGTCTGGGTTTTTGCTCCAGGAGTGGGCATGTGAACTATGCCTGTCAGCCAGAAGTTTCTATCCTCGTGGTAACAGAGATTGATTGAGGATTGAGTAAAAATGACTCACATTTGTTTGGTGACAATTTGCTATAGGGATCGGTGAACAGAGTCTAAAGTTAGATGAGTAATGACTGAATTCAGCCACACCTAAATCCAGAAATAAACCTGAAATTTGTAGTTTGAATTGAACTTCTTTTTCATGTAAATAAAAAATTAAAATAAAGTCACGTATTTACATATTTTTTTACATGTATGTTGTACATAGATCACTATCACTCTGACAGGAGAGGATAAATTGCTGCAAAAGAGAGTGGAGAAATGGACATCAGATAAGCACGTTAGTACTAGGGAAGATGATGAGGGCCCAAATTAAGGCAGTGTCTCTTGGATTGGAGGATGGAGGCCTTACCTATTATATTTTTCTCTCTTGGATTCCCAGCTCCCAACTCAGGTCCTAGAATGTAGGCGGTACTCAAAATGTATTAAATGAGTGACCAGGCTATGAATTTAAGATAGAGAAGGTTGTGAGAGGTATAAGCAATGGTGAAGAAAAATGAATAATTTAGGGATCTAGTGAGGACAACCAGATATATAGTAGTGGCATTATTTAAGCTAGGGGAGGAGAAGGAAAAACTAAGAGAGGTAGGATGAAATAGGGGCAAATGAAGAATACAGATTTGCATATTTTGTAGCCAGTGCTATTTTTTTGGTTTAGATTATTATTGTTGTTGTTGTTACTATTATTATTACTACTATTACTATTATTTTTAATGTTTCCCAAAGAAGGCTAAGGGTAAGACTGATGTGCTATGATTTCCTCTCTCAAAAGAACAGAATAAATACAGAGAAATCTCAGGTATGTTTAAAAAAATCTTCTGGAAAGGGAAAGAAATATACTATACAATACAAACTAGACACATACACACTACAACAAACTATTCAAACTTAATGCCTGGATTTTGAACAAGAGAACTTTTAGTTTCTGTTAATGCTAATCCATGAGGAGGTTGCACACTCATTAAATGTTGCATTCAGCAAAGAAGAGTAACAAAGGCTGAAAATTTCTTTCTGAAATTAATGAGATGCTAGGAATTAATTGTGGCTTCCAGCTTTTTACTCTACACAACTGATGGGTCAGGGCTGATGCAGCTCTATATCCTACTCTACCAAACACCATATTTGTTTCCAAGTTACAAAACTGTTCAGAGTCTAGACATGAGCCAAGCATCCAACTTCTTTTCAAGCTGTTGTTAGTCCATGATCTTTCCATAGTAAATGGCACTTTAAATGTCAAGCATCTCCCCTAACAGAAAAATTTCTAACATCCCGACAGTAAACAGAATGACTGCCCAAGACATGTATGCTTTAATCTCTTTTGTGTGACTGCAAAATATTATATGGCAAATAGGAACTTTGCAGATATGGTTAAGGTTATGGATCTCAAAATAGATAGATTATTATCTTGGATTATCCTGATGAGGTTAATGGTGTTTCATGAGCCTTTAAAAGCAGAATTCTTTCCTACTGAGATTGAAGAGATGTAAGAGATAACAAATCAGAGAGATTAGAAGTGTGAGAAAAGCTCATTGGGCATGCCCTTGCTAATCTTAAAATGGAGAGGACAAAATGACAAGGGATACAAGCAGCTTGCAGAGCTGGAAAAGTCTTTTGGAAGACAGGCAGCAAGAAAACAGCAACTTCACTTAGGCCTCCAGTTCAAGGAAATGAGTATTGTTAACAATATGAATGAGCTTGAAACTGGATTTTATCTGAGCCTCCAGTTAATTGCCCAGGCAAGGCAATGTCTAGATTTATCCTTGTCAGAACCAGAACAAAGTAACCAGCCAAGCTGTCACTGGAATTCTGAGTTGCAAAATTATAATATAATCAAAATATACAATATATGTTATTTATATATATTAAATATTATTTATCTATAATATATACATATGTATTATATATTATATATAAATATACATATAATATATATGTAGTTTTAAGCTGTTAAGTTTGTAATAATTTATTATAGCAGTAGTGGTAAACAGGAATAAATAGAGAGCAAAACATTAAATATAATTAAAGACCTAAGCCCTATGATATCAATAACCACATAAAATGTAAATGGCCTAAAAATATACTAATAACAAGAAAGAGATTGGCAGAATTGACTGAAAACACAAACCAACTTTTTTTCCTTAAGAAATTCATTTAAAATATATGATATATGCAGGTTGAAAGTAAAAACATAAAAAACTATATCATGCAACCATTAATCAAAATAATACAGCAAGGTTGTATCAATTACAGGTAAACTAGAATTCAGAAGAAAAAGTACCAAACAAAAAGAGAGACATTATAGAATGATGAAAGGTTTAATCTATTAGAAAGTATAAATATTAAATGTGTAAGCATCAATTTTAGAGCTGCAATATATGCGAAACAAAAACTGTTCGAAATGAAAGGAAA